GACGTGATAATGAGTCGCTCACCTGAGATGATGCAGAAAAGCGAGGATTTCTCCCAGTGAATCTCGACACAGGGATCTGACCCTGTTATGCCTTCCCCAGCTTGAGTTTACAGACATTATTTACAGATTACCACTCGTTGGCTCAAATAATTGTGCACTGAGAATTTGTGCTGAACCCTTTTAAAAATGTATTTAGCATTTAGCATTCATTAACGCTGTAGCGGACTGTCTTTTTTAAGTTGCCCTTTTCACTTTTTAACATTAAGAATACTCTGCAACGCACATGTGCACATGCATAAAAAGGCCAAGAAAATGACCTAGAAAGGATTCTTTCTTACCTCCAGGGTTCAGAATCACTCAGAGCTGTAGTAAATTGTTGTTGCGTAGAGGTTGCTCTTTCATAGCTCAGAGGACGTAATGGAGTTGTCAGTTGGGCTTCTTGTAGGTTTCAACTAATGTTTTTTTTCCCTTAAGCGAAATAATAAAAAATGCAAATGTTTTATTTTAAATTAAATACGGTCAGACAACTTGGCACCGGAGCCTTAAAGCACTGCAATTACAGGAGGAGGTATTAAGAGCTATAAATTAAGTTGGAATAGCATAGCTTAGATAGTTTGGCCTTAAAAAAAATATCTTTAAGAAACGCTAAAAGGATAGTTTAGTAGTTCAAAAATCATTTAAGACAGTGGTTCTCAAACTGTGGTACGTGTACCACTAATGGTATGCAGATTTTCTTCTAGTGGTACACGGAGGAATGAAATATGTCATGTACATGCTAGATATATTTCAAAATTTATCAAAAATGATGTATTTAATATGCCATATATGACATATCCAGGGATTTACATTAACTTTTTTGATCACCAGCCACTGTGGCTAGTAGATTTCCAACATTACTAGCCACTTGCCATTTTCACTAGCCACAATTTTGTTGTTTGGAAAATATATTTTATATAAATAAATGTGACTTTGACATGCTAAAATGACTTGATTTAGATGTTGTGTTGTCCCAGATCAGCAGTTACTACACACACATGGTTGGTTAATCTCATATTAAAGAAATGTTATTGTAAGGGATGATAATTAAACTATATTAACAAAAATAACTGTAAGCAAAAGAAAGCAGGTAAAAAAATTCTACGAGTGATAATGAAAGGATGATCAGGTGCCTGAGAATCATTTAAACAAAAGCAGTGACTGCTGCTGTTGCTTACAAATATATATATTTTTCAATCTTGAGCTCTTAAAAGCAGCAGGACTGTGGGTACACGAGCATCGTTTTTTGTCTAGTCTTTTTCAAATAGAACCGATAGCAAGTGAACAGAAAAAAGCGCAAGTAAACTGGAGCGCATCACATCACCTGTGCGCGCGAGTATTAATCGTCTTATACGGTATTCACCTGCTTTGTCTCGCGTGAACACAGTTATTGTTTTCAGTCATGCTGTTTCTCGATTCTAAGGGTGCTTTCACACCAGTGAATCAATTCAGTTATTCCGAAACAGAGATTACAAATGTTACATTGTTGCTCTTTGCTCTTGGAGCGGTTTGCTTTCACACTGCAAAGTTTCTAATCGGACCAAAAGAGCTAAAACTCGTCACGTGCGAGTAAACTCTCCTCACATTGGTCAGTGTCAGGGTTTATTTTGAAGCGTCCCGCTAAGCTGTCAGGAGAGGTGGTGGTTTGGTGGTGATTGACACGGTGCGCGTGCGCGACATGTCTGAGGAGAGACACGGTGGGGAGGGGTGAGAAGGGTGCACGACGATGCCTATTTGAGGACCGGGAGGGAGATACAAGATTATCGGGAGATCATCACTCGTTTGCGGGCATCCGGAGACTTGCGAAACTTCCGGCCCTACTCATAATTCTCTCTTCATATAGCTGTAAGCCTATTACATATCCATAAAACACTGTGATATAACCGCGCTCGGATCGGATCGCTTTCTCACTGCAATCGAACCGCTCCAGGGTTCGTTTCAATCGAGCCGAGACTACCTCATTCAAGCGATCTCGGAGCGATTACTTTGGCGCGGAACAGAGCGCGATTGCCCTGTTTACATATGGCAATCGAACCGCGCTAACTGGGCAAACGAGATCCGTTCCGAAACAAAAGTGTAGGTGTGAAAGCACCCTAAGATCACAATTGCAAGTATATTGGGCCATCCTTATTGTCGAACCCTGCTTTAAAAAAACTACAATGTCAAAATTATTTCCAACCTGCCAAAGTGGCTAGTGGGAGCGGCTGTCTTACCCACCAAAGCTGAAATCTACCCGCATTTGGCGGGTGTTAATGTAAAGCCCTGCATATAGGCTATATTTCTGAGGTTATCTGCCATGTTTTTTAACTGTGCAGAGTTGTAGCTGCTTTACTAGGCCTACTACGCTACTGTATTTCAATACTGCTCATTTTGGTGGTACTTGGAGAGAGAATTTTTTTCTGAGATGGTACTTGATGAAAAAAGTTTGAGAACTACTAATTTAAGATATTTAAATGATTTAATCACCTTCCACTTGTTCCATCCAAACCTGTTTTAAGTTTCTTCTATTAAAAAAAAAAAGAAGATAATTTGGAAAGCCACATCCATTGATCTGCATCGTATAGACTTCCATAGTACTATCTTGTTTAGTTTTCAACAGAAGAAAGAAATTCCTAAACGTTTGTCAGAATAAACGATAAATCAGGAGGGGCATCATTGAAGAGATTGTGGTTGCTGATGCTGGTTTAAAAGTAATGTCGTTGAAGCTTTGGCAATCTTATAAATAAAGGCTAATCTTTGCTGTTTATGGGTTATGGGCTGTTTTTAATCTTATTACCGCTTCCATCGGTACCATCATGACTCACGTGACTGCAGGGTATCATCTCTTCTTAGACACATTAATACACACAGAAAAACACCTACATATGCAGTGAGTCACAAATGATTTTCCATCCTATTCATATAAAGGCTAATCATTTGATAATACTGACAAAGAAGGCTAAAACAGGAGATAGAGGATGAAGTTTGAGATTTACAATTCTGTTTTTGTCAAGTCAGCATAACAACAGCCAGGCTGTAGGTGATGGATTTCTCCATTAACAGCATGTGGATTGACATGTCATGAACTGCTGAATGTAAATGTCCTGTTTTCCCATTAATTAACATATTTTATAAAGCAATATACTTAAACCATCAGCAATATTAAGAATAGCCCACTTTAAATTTTGTTTATACACCCAAAACTGACTCTTTAGATAAATTCTAAATGATTCTTTGCTTTATGACCAATAAAACATTCATCTGTAGTCATATAAGGCAGCATGATATTTTTGTCTCAGTGCTTACAGCAAACTGAGTTGCTCCAGGCTTTTGCCAGAAGTGTCCTCCTGCTTTCCACTTCCTCTGTGAAAAGATTTTTGAGAGTATCTGTGTCCAAGTTTCTCTTATCTCAGCCAGAAAGCTCTGCCTACTTGTTCACTGTTCATTTCTCTGACAATTGCCTTTCTTATTGAGTTATTTGGTACAAAAGCCTCTTAGTTGGCTTAGCGGTGTTAGGATTGTGCCACGTTTTTGCCATTTCGTTGTTATGGACCATGTTGTGCTGTGGGAGGTTTAAAGCTTGACAGATTTTTTTTTCTGTACATTTGTAGCATTACAGTTTTTCTTTCTTTCAGGAAAGTTCAACAGTGAGCTGTGTTTAGAAAGCCGACAAGATCTAATCTGGTTATTGCAACATTAGGTATTTCCCAGAACTGCCCAGCCCTCTCAGTATTACTTAATCTACTACTTTTTTACTGTTTTCTTCACTTAAAGTCGCTATTATGCAATGTCTTTACATACATTGTAGCTGTTCGGCTACTTCACTGTCTAGTAGCGGTATCAAAATTAATTGTATATTCGATGCATCACGATGCATATGCGGACAATACGATATCGGTTCAGTAATAGATCATAACCGGTTATTACACACTGACATCATTTATCTCCAATGCGCTGTGTTGTAGTAGAATACTATTCGCATATAGATTGTAACCGCAGATGTTCTTCCTGCGCCACTCATCGATGAACATCGCTGACAGTTTTAAAGCCAACCGCAGCCCTTTCTGTTGAGCGTGTGAGCACAATGACCAATCATAGGTGTTTAAAAACTCGCTCGACAGCGCTCAAAAAGCAAGCAGAATAATATCTACATTGTTTTATTTGCTTTAAATGCTCATGTTGCCATCTTCTGTGATTGTAGCTATTTAAGTTTTGTTTGATACATTTAAATAGAGTTCAAATGTTTTCTTTGAGCAGGTAAAATTAAAGGAAAGTTCATATACATTACTGCATTATTAGTACAAAATTGTATAACAAATTGTTTTGTGTATGGAAAGCATCATCAATTCACCATGATTTCGAATAGAACCGAATCGATGGCATGATAATCGTAACCAAACCTAACCGTGAGGCCAGTGAAGGTTTACACCCCTAGGTTTAGCATCCAGGAATTCATTCAAATGGTTTGGTTGACGATGTAGCAACTTGCATGGGACTGTCTAACCAGTTTCTTTTGGTATAGAACGTGCTTTCACAAGGGTAAGATACTAATCTAACAGTAGTTTATTCATGGCCGCAAGCAAAACAGTATTGTCACTTGATGTACCTATACCTTACTCCCCACATTTTTAAGTTCACTCTTTGTTGGTCTGTCTCATGGGAATTAATCCTGGCTATGCACCAATAGAGAAAACTAAAGACAAAACTCCTTAGTGGAAATTTTACATTCCATGCCACTGTGAATTTCATTAGACTTTTAGTGCAGCTGCCTTGATTTAAATACCATTGTAGGATTTCTTTTATGGTTAGTAGACGAAAAATGTATGAATGATCTGTCAAGCCACAGCTACACAAGAATATCACAAGTATCTAGTATGTACTGTATATATGATTATATTTTAGAGGTTTTCAAATCTTAGTGTTTCTTTATTGTTAAGGTTTTCTTGTCTTTAATTTTGGACTTTCTGTTTATTTTTGTCTTTCAGATCTTGGCCATCATATCAATCCTATTCATCGTGCTCTCCACTATCGCTTTGTCTCTCAACACTCTCCCGGAACTTCAAGAAACAGACGAATTTGGTCAAACTACTGATAATACCCAGCTGGCTCACGTGGAGGCAGTGTGCATTGCTTGGTTCACCATGGAATATCTTCTTCGCTTCCTTTCCTCACCAAACAAATGGAAATTCTTTAAAGGTCCTCTTAATGTCATCGACCTGCTTGCCATCCTACCATATTATGTCACCATATTCTTGACAGAGTCCAACAAAAGTGTACTGCAATTCCAGAATGTAAGACGGGTGGTGCAAATCTTTCGTATCATGCGAATTTTGCGCATCCTTAAGTTGGCTCGTCACTCCACTGGGTTGCAATCACTGGGCTTCACGCTGCGTCGGAGTTACAATGAGCTAGGCCTGCTTATCCTCTTCTTAGCAATGGGGATCATGATCTTTTCCAGTCTAGTTTTCTTCGCGGAGAAGGATGAGGATGACACCAAGTTCAAGAGTATCCCTGCCTCCTTCTGGTGGGCCACTATTACCATGACAACTGTTGGATATGGAGACATTTACCCTAAGACGCTTCTGGGCAAGATCGTTGGTGGTCTCTGCTGCATAGCTGGAGTTTTAGTCATTGCCCTACCCATTCCTATTATCGTCAACAACTTCTCTGAATTCTACAAGGAACAGAAACGACAAGAGAAGGCCATCAAGAGACGTGAGGCTCTAGAGCGGGCTAAACGCAATGGCAGTATAGTTTCCATGAATGTTAGAGAGGCCTTTTCCCGAGGTACAGATCTTCTGGATGTTGTAGTCATGGATAAGGGTGAGAGATCTCAGGACAACCATCTCTCACCCAGTCGATGGAAATGGTCATCAAAGCGGGGAACTTCAGAGACCAGTTCTAATCGTTCCTTTAACCCAGACCAAGGTTCCCCAAGCAAGGCAAGAGCTTCTAGTCCACAGAGACTCAATGCACAGAAACTAGAAGACATGTACAACCAGATGGCAAAGACTCAGTCACAGCCCAACCTAAACACCAAAGACAGAAATTCATCCCGAGCAGGCCATAGAAGGGATGAAATTGAGCTGGGAGCCTTGCCAGGTCAAGGAGGCGACCCAATGAATGGGGGCCGTGAAGGGGTGGTAGACATGAAAAGTCTGTCGAGCATTGACAGTTATATCAGCTGTGCAACAGACTTTCAGGAGAACCCACGATTCCACTACAGTCCGGCAGGGGGTCTGTCGCTCCCAGAGAGCTCTCGGTTTTCCCACAGCCCCGGTTCTGGCCTATCTAGTCGAGTCAGTGCAAATCCAAGTCTGCAGACTACCTTAGAACACGAGACCATGCTCACTCCCCCTTTTTCTGGTGCTAAACCTCTCAACACTGATGGTTCACGGCAGCAAGGTCTGCTTGGAAACTCTCAGAAAATGCATTCAGTTAGGGTGAATCCTCGCAATTGTGCAGAGAGCAGTCCTTCAGGTGGCCCTCTGTCTGACAGCTCTATTCTTTCCGACCACTCCATCTTAAGCCCAGAAGTGTCAGTCTACACAACAGCCAGTACCAGGACTCCACCTAAGACACCTGAGAGGAAGGTACTCACTCCTACAGTCTTTACTTTTCATGACGCATCTATCAGCAAGTACATTGATGCCGACACAGATGATGAGGAGCACTTGCGCGAAAGCGGCCCATCAGATCGCCTACTGGGTGGCCTGAGCTCCAAGCCTCGGCTTGGTGGTTACCAGGGGGCCACCAACCACTTGGAAGCTGCCCAAAGGCTGCTAGGTCAGAACTGTCTATTCCCACTGGGAAGTAGCCCGAGTGTTGGGCATGAGAACCATGTGGCTTCAGAGAATTCACGGAGACCCAAAGGGGACAGGGGACATTCCAACGCTTTTGATAAGGGCCTTTGAGACCTCAGGGTCATGAGTTGGACTCAGAAGAGAGTCCAAGAAAGGAAATAAGGCCAAGTTTAGTCAAGGACTTTGGAGAAAGCAGAGACTAATGTACATTGGAGAATTTTCCAGGCATCTGACCAGGGGGCCTATCCTGATGACTTTTCGAGGGAGAGTTCACTGGAAAAAAAGTGGTCATGTTACATCATTAAGGAACAGGATCTCGAGGATGTACCACTGCCTACACCTCTTGCCCTTTTTCCTCTCCTGTAAACAAGCCTGCATCCGTGCATCGCAGGGGTAAGATAAAGCCAGAGCATATCTGGCCTACGGTTGTTTGTGAAAAGAACAGGCTTCACGCTAAAGCTTAAGTAGCTTAAGGCTAAAAAACTTACCAGACATTTAAGTGCAGGCGTGTATGGTAAGAAAAAAAAAAATCAAGGGGGACAGTCCATCACTGCCCACGTCAGCTAGCCACTGTCCAGAGCCCACCTTAAAGATTAGCATTAGAGACATGTTATACCCTGTTTACTAGTGCACCCCTCCCCTGTCCCCTTTAAACTGGCCTTACTTAATTGCAGTTTTGGGTCTGCACACAGTATGAGTGTTAGCGTGCAAGCATTTTTTTGATATAGGGAGGGCTGATGGTATGATGATGTGCACGTATAATAACATTCCTGCACACAAGCTCACTCTTGGAAGTATATTCACTTGCTGTGTGATTCTACTTGATTGATTTATTTTTATATAGACATGAAGATTATCTGTAGAAACCCATCACACATATATTTCTTCTCACACTCACAACTATAAGAATAAATCACTAATTGTTTGATCAGAAGAGACAAAAATCTGTTTAAATTCACATCCCCTCATTTTCATTTACTTGTGTCATCTTAAGGGTTTTTTGTTAACACTTTATAATAAATATACACTATGAATCATCTATTAAGCATGAGCAAATATTGGATTCATTATCTAATAAGCATTAACTACATTAACAGATGTTAGTAAGCAGTTTATAACTGCAGATACAAATGCTGTTTTCTTGACTTATAAGTGCATGTATAATGTGCTTAATGATTGTATTTTTATACTTTGTTAATAATTATTTTTTCATTACTAAATTGAGTATTGCACCATTTACAAACCAGTTATTTGAGAGAAGTTGCTGTTTTTAAAAGGTATTCAGAATAAGAAAGTAAATGATTAATAAACTATTCAAATTAACATATACAATTCTTATTATTCAGGCATATTTTAATAGGTAATTTGCATGTTAATAAATGCATCCAGTTTCGAGACCTAATCTAAAGTTAGGACTAGTTATGCTTTATAAATCCCTTATAAATGACTATTAAAGGCTCAATTATATAACAAACAGGAAAAAAATAACATTAAGTGACTGTATTCATTTCTATTCATTTGAAGATACACAAATAAAACTGCATCAAATTAACAATAAATCTATTAAATAAACTAAATTACTGTAAAGTTTAAACATCGCTAAATAACATAGAAATGTTGCATATTGTTAAAGTATTATATCGTTGTTTTTTTCTCTAATTTTATGTTATATTTTTTACACTCCTGTTATTTTGCAATGTTTAAACTTTACAGTCATTTTTACTCTTTACATAAGATTGTAAAGATGTATGGATCAATTGATACTGAGCCTTTAATTGTCATTTATTAGGGATTATTAAAGCATAAATTGTACTCACTAGAACAGTTCACAATGCTGGATGAAGTTGAGTTAATAAAGCATTTATTATCATACAAATTAACAATCAGTATATGCCTGAATAATAATATATAAATGTTGATTTAAATAGTTTATTACTCATTTACTAATTCACTCTGATCTTTAAAATCCCAACTATACTTAAATACAAACGATTTGTAAATAATGCAATAAATAATTTAGTCATGAAAAATTAATCAGTAAAGTATGAAAGAACAATCATTAAGCACATTTTTATTGTGCTTATGAGTCAAGAATACAGCATTTGTATCTGTAGTTATAAACTGCTTACTAACGTACATTAATGTAGTCAATGCTTATCAAATTCATAGTGTGCAGTTATTCCAGTAAGTGTAACAGGATTTTTTTACATTCTCGCAGAAGTGATAGTTCACCAAAACTTTACTTACCCTCAATTGCTCCTTCTTTCTCTCATATATATATATATATATATATATATATATAAATAAAAGTACAGCTAAATTTTGCTTTGAATGTTCTTCAAAATCTCTTCTTTTCTTTTACACAGACAGAAATGAACAACAACTAAATGCAAACAGGTTTGAAATGGTTTGGGGTGAGTTAATGGTTACAGAACTGAGCATTTTGGGTGGACTATTGCTTTAAAAGAATAGTTCACCCAGAAATTATTACAGAATTATATGAGTATGGCTGAGCGATTTGGCCTAAAATCTAAATCTTGATTAATTGAGCATTTTCATTACGATTAATGAACGATTGTTTTATTTTTTATAAAAAAAAAATTGCCTTCATAGTTCACGGACAAGTTTTGTACAGTAAATATGCTCACATCTTACAAGTGAGAGATTTTTGAATGAAGGGTGGCACAGCTTATACATCGTCAATGTAGTGCAAATGTGCGACATGTAGTCACATTTTTTTGAAAGGTGCATGCATTTGCGACCACACGAAGGCTGCATCGGACCATACCTGTGCGTTCGACGTCGAGGTATAAAGCAGCCTTAACAAAGTGGGGTCATGTGACTCCACACACAAAGTAATCCGCTTGTTAAGTGTGACGTCATGCGAAGCGGCTTTCGGGTCCAAGTGCTGTATGGTGAGACTCATCAAATGGTTATAATAAACATTTACAAAGCGATGTAATACTTTTGAAAATCACCATTGCAATATATGTTTTTATATCCATGTCTGAAATCCGATGGCCAGAAAGTGATTAATTTTTTATAAATGGTTAAAATGTTGGTTTTTGTGCTGCTGCAAGTCCAGAGACCGAAGTGTAAGCCATGATTTTATCTACAATTCACTTTGAAGTTTGATATGACTAAAAAGTGGCCATACATTAATATTATCTCAATTCAAATGAATAGCGGCTTGGACCCGGAAACAGTATTCCACACATCACTGATACGTCACGACTTAACAAACAGATTGAAAAAAAAATGACCTGGAAACATGAGATCGATTATAGTTTCTAAATGTCAATTTCAATTACGTTTTGATTAATTGTTTAGCCCTATTTTTGAATTTCTTTCTTCAGTTGAAGACAAAAGAATATATTTTGAAAAATGTCAGAAACCCCTAACCATAGTATTTGTTTTTCCTACTATGGAAGTCAGTGGTTACATGTTCCAACATTCTCCAAATTATCTTCTTTTGTGTTCAACTTCAAAAATTCAGCACTACTGTCCTTGAGGGTGAGTAAATAGTGAGTCAAAATAAATTTGTGGGTGAACTATCCCTTTGGAAAAGTTACAGAAGATTGATGCTGTGCTTACATGTGTAATATGTTCCCTTCAGAACCACTTTATGCATATTTTATGTTTAAAAACAATACGTAGCACACGCACATCGGCAGCCCGAGCATAAGCAACACTGAGAAAGAACGGACAACACATACCTCGTCCTGTTGTTACATGATGAAATGCTAGAATAAATCTGACGACTTTCAAAAATAACTTCAGGTCAACTCAACATTTCAGTTACCAATTTCATAGCAGTGAACGCTGTCTAAAACACAAATATTTCTGAATATGAGAATAAATATATATTTCTAAAGTATTTTCTAGATGAAGCGAGGGAGATGGTCTCATACTTTTGCATTTGCCAGGGAGAATGTTTATTTTAGAATATTTGATTTATAAATAATATTTAAAAAAAGGTTTTATGGGACCTTTTGTGCCCTCAGTTGTTATTCAGGCTCCACACAAAACCCCAACATGACCAAGATGACCACCAGTTAACCCAGCATTAATCCTTTTTGATACTGTAACACAGTACATAATGCATGACCACGTTCACCTCCCGATTTGATACACTGCACAAAACTTAATATCCTCAAAGATTAGATTTACCGCCATTCTGTAACCACACGCATTCATAGTCCAGCATGCATTCGCAGGTATGTAGACGATGTCCTGAAGACGACTATATCCAGTTTCCATGGTGACCACAAGCCCTCCCTGTTAGCGCTCGTATCCAATTTGAAAAGCGGGATAGAGAGGGATAAATTTGATCAGAAACATGCACTCAATTGCATCCGTGTCCACAAATACCATAACTAAAAGTCACATTGTCAGAATGTACTTGTCTCTTATGTATGTGCGTGTGTGTGGTTTGATAATGAGAGCAAAGATGATGGAGGAAAACTCGGCCTCTCCCGAGACTCGTGAGTGTGTACGTTTTCCATCCTTGTCTCAACGATTTTAGCCGAGTTGAACTGAGGTGTGAACGGAATACCAATTTTCTGCAAGAGAGCGGGAGGAGGGTGTGTATGAAAAAAAAAACACTGCAAGTGAGAGGATCTTCCCTCTCCGTTCAATACAGAATAATTTATGAATGCAACGATGTGTTACTGCTTACTGTAATGGCTGGAGAGGAAGCTGCTGTGAGTGCTGAAGTCCCTTGCTTCACTTTGTGGTCTTTTTATGTGGGTATAATATAATATCCATAATCTGTCGAGTGTATGATCCACGCTCAGTGCCCTGTGCATTCAGTAGATTCATTTGGAGAGACGTCATCGCTAAAATGTGACTTCACTGAAGCCGTTCTTTCATGTGTCTGTGTTAGGCTGTGCCCTGAGGTCAGTGTCCATGGATGAATCTCACAAAGAAATGTCTGACGTATTTTCCCTAGAAAGTTAAATATATAAATATGTATTTCTTTATGATTTATGCTTATTTAATTTAAGCACAATTATCCTTATTTAATTTTAACACTTTCAAAATATATTGTTTTTACATCTTCACCACATTTTAGCTCCCTTAATGATTAGGTTTTTTCTTTTGAGACTATAAATATGTAAACCCAATATCAGTTCTTTAATTCTTTAAAAAGTCATATTTGTGTTCATATTTATCTCATGTCAAGCAAATAAATACTCTAAATATTAAGATATTACTTGAAATTTCTCAGTTTCTTTGGATTTACTTGATTTATAAAGTATGTGTTTGAGTAAAATATTAAATTATTATTTTTTTGTTTCTCTTTGATAACATTTCATCCAAATGTCCACTATATACAGTTGGTTAGAATTATTAGCCCCCCTTTTAATTAGATTATTTTTTATTATTATTTCCCAAATGATGTTTAGCAAAGCAAGGAAATTACACAGTATGTCTGATAATATTTTTTCTTCTGGAGAAAGTTTTATTTGTTTTATTTCGGCTAGAATATAAGCAGTTTTTAATTTTTAAAAATCCATTTTAAGGTCAAAATTATAAGCCTTTTGAAGCTATATATTTTTGATGGTCTACAGAACAAACCATCATTATACAATAACTTGCCTAATTCCCCTTTCCTGCCTAATTAACCTAATTAACCTAGTTAAACCTTTAATTGTCACTTTAAGCTGTATAAAAGTATCTTGAAAAATATCTAGTCAAATATTATTTACTGTCATCAAGGCAAAGATAAAATACACCAGTTATTAGAGATGAGTTATTAAAACTATTATGTTTAGAAATGTGTTGAAAAAATCTGTTAAACAGAAATTGAGGAAAAATATACAGGGGGGCTAATAATTCTGACTTCAACTGTATGTTTGTAATTTAGACTTTTTCATATACATTATATATTAAAAATGACAATTAGTCAGAACATTAAGTTGGTTCTGACTGAAAATCAAAATTATTCCACCATACAGATGTGGCTACTGAGAATGCGCGAGTGAATGAACGTGACCACACACAGTGCTGCAGTACTGCGGCACAGCACAACATGGTCTAACACAAGAAAGACATGACCAGCAGGGGGCAGTTATGTAACATAGTGAATATACTGAACTAAAAAAAATGAAGCAGCCAGCGCA